ACCTGTAATCCCAGCTACTCGGGAGGCTGAGGCAGGAGAATTGCTTGAACCCAGGAGACGGAGGTTGTGGTGAGCGGAGATCATGCCATTGCACTCCAGCCTGGGTAACAAGAGTGAAACTCCATCTCAAAAAAACAAAGTTCCCTAGTTCTTTGGTTCTGTCACCTGACTTTGGGTCTCACCATGTTGCCCAGGCTGGTCTTGAATTCCTGAGTTCAAGAGATCCATCTGTTTTGGCTCCCAAAGTGCTGGAATTACTGGTATGAGCCACCATGACCAGCCAAAATGATTTTTTTTTTTTTGAGATGGAATCTTGCTCTGTCATCCAGGCTGGAGTGCAGTGGCACAATCTTGGCTCACTGCAACCTCAGCCTCCTGGATTCAAGCAATTCTACCTTAGCCTCCTGAGTAGCTGGGACTACAGGCACCCACCACCACCCTTGGCTAACTTTTATAGTTTTAGTAGAGATGGGGTTTCACCATGTTGGCCAGGCCAGTCTTGAACTCCTGACCTCAGGTGATCCGCCTGCCACGGCCTCCAAAAGTGCTGGGATTACAGATGTGAGTCATCGTGCCTGGCCCCAGCCAAAAGATTTCTGATACCCTTTTAACGAAGTTAATAAAACTAAATACCTATCATACAGGGCTGCAATTAGAAGTAAACTTACAATAAATATTACAAAATATATAAAGTGCCTACTATATTAAAAAAATTTCTTTAAGAATTATTTGTGGCCAGGTGTAGTGGCTCACGCCTGTAATCCCAGCACTTTGGGAGGCCAAGGTGGGTGGGTCACCTGAGGTCAAGAGTTCTAGACCAACCTGACCAACATGGAGAAACCCTGTCTCCACGAAAAATACAAAAATTGGCCAGGCGTGGTGGTGCATGCCTGTAATTCCAGCTAATGGGGAGACTGAGGCAGGAGAATCATTTGAACCTGGGAGGTGGAGGTTGCAGTCTACTGAGATTGTGCCATTGCACTCCAGCCTGGGCAACAAGAGCAAGCCTCCATTTAAAAAAAAAAAAAAAAAAAATTATTTGTATAATCTTTGATAAAAGCATTTTACTGATTGAGGAGTAAAGTAAGATGGATACTTTCTTTAAGGAGAGGTAGGCTTTCCCTAAATCTTGCCTGAGGGTACACAATATAGTCACCTAGAAGTCTAATTTTTCATCCATAGTCATAGTAACTTTTGAAAAATGACACTTTGAAAACAAAGGCGACATCAAACTTGAGACAAAAGGCATTTTAAAAATCTGCATGTTTTGGAATGTTAACTCATTGATATGAGTATGTTTCAACTAAGCTGTAAAAATATTTGGTTACAAGACATTTCACATTTTGACTGGAGTAGGAAAGTTTATCAGTGGCCACCTGAACTGGAGAAAAGTTACCCAGAGAAACAAGTTTGCAAGAACAGCAACTAGAAGTTAAATAACTGTTCTGTGGCAGAGTTCATAGTCAAATTTAGCTTTGTTTGTCCAAAAGTCTGTGCTCTTTTCATTATACCACTCCCAAGCTGTCTTTACTCATGGGATTCATGTTTTCTTTCTTTCTTTTTTGAAACAGAGTCTTACTCTGTTGCCCAGGCTGGAGTGTAGTGGCGTGATCTTGGCTCACTGCAAGCTCCGCCTCCTGGGTTCAGGCGATTCTCCTGCCTCAGCTTCCTGAGTAGCTGGGATTACAGGCACAAGCCACCAGGCCCAGCTAATTTTTTATATTTTTAGTAGAGACGGGGTTTCACCATGTTGGCCAGGATGGTCTCGATCTTTTGACCTCACGATCCACCCACCTCAGCCTCCCAAAGTGCTGGAATTACAGGCTTGAGCTACCATGCCTGGCCTTAATTTTATTTTAAATTTGAACTGCTGCTGACTTTTTTCATGCTTGTCTTTTGATTTTGTTGTCTACCACAAGTTATCACTCCTTTATTTGTGACTGCAAAGTTTTAAATGTCCTTCAAAAGACTGCATTCTGAATTTTACTAATTTAGTTTGATGATTTGCTATACCATTCAGGTCTGTTTTTTTTTTTTTTGGAGACAGAGTCTCACTCTGTCACTGAGGCCAGAGTGTAGTGGCACAATCTCTGTGAAGAAAGTGCTGTGAAGAAAGGCCCCTAGTAAAGATGGTATTAGGTCAAATCAGGGAAGCCTTTCTGAGAATGCAATGGCTAAAATGTAATGGACATTATTTAGGCCAGTGATTCTCAATGAGGATGGTAGGTTTGCTCCCCATGTGACATTTGGCAATGTCTGGAGACATTTGTGATTGTCATGACTGGGAAGTACTAGTAGTATGCACTGAGTAGAGAAGAAAGATGGTGCTACATCTCTTATAATGCACAGGACAGTTCCCCAGAACAAATAATTATCTGATCTAAAAAAAAGTCAATAGTGCCAAGGCTGAGATATCTTGAACTTGGTGAAGAGAAAAGTACAAGCAAAGACTGGTGGTGGAAGACTCAAATATGGACAAAGTGGTTTCAGAAGAGAAAACTAGAGGGGACACAGGGAAGGGCGGCTTATAAACCCTGTTAAGGAGTTTTGACTTTAAGAATGAAGGGAAAAACAAGTAAGTGAAGGGTTTAAAGAAGAGGAGGAGAAAGGGAGTTAAGACAGTGGTGATAATATGTCCAGATTAAAATTTCAAAAAGGTTACTGACTGCAATATGGTGAACAGACTGGAAGGGAGTGAAACTGGATATGGGTAGATGAAACAGGTAGCTAAGTAATTTAACTTCCTAGAAACTCCAAAGGCTGGGGAAACAGAAGGTACTAGTGGTGAGGATGTAGGAGTAGCTGAAAACTTCTTTCTATAAATGTTCTGTATAAAAAAAGAACAAAGAATGCATGGTGTTTATATGTACTGCACTCTGCAGTCTCAAGATAGAGTAGTAGTCTCTAAGCATAAATGAAATGTTTTCCTTACATTTAAAAAATAAGGGAAGGCCAGGTACAATGGCTCAGGCCTGTAATCCCAACATTTTAGGGAGGCTGAGGTAGGAGGACTACTTGAAATGAGGAATTTGAGAACAGCCTGGACAGCAAAGCGAGATCCCTGTCTCTAAAAAAACAAATAAATGAATAAAAAATAAAGGACAAGAATATTTTTTGTCTTTAAATGCGATATATGGTGCCATATAAAATACTTTATTTGTAAGGATTCAGGCAGCAAAAAACTAGAGTAAATTTAATTTTAAATATAAATTTTAGTGTATAAGTTATAATCCACGCTTATAAACTCAGGAATTAATGAAACTAATGACTGGCTCCACTAAGTATGTTCTCGAAAATATATGTTTTCCTTAGAGTAAAGTTAAACTAGCAAATATTAATAACTATTTTATTACAAAACACAGAAAAGAATAAATATACATATGATAAAAAAAAAACCAATAGTCACAAACTTGACACAGAGTAGCATTTTTTTTTAAATAGCAAAAATTTTCATAAATGTTTGTTCTGGAAGTGGCTGCTAAGATAAAGATTTACATTAAAACTAAAGAAAAGGCCCTTAAACGTGACACTTTTCCACTGTGGGGCAGTTGTACTACCGAATGAAAAAAAAAAATCTCTCCCATATGCTAATAAATTAAAAACTGAACAACTTTTGGTTTTATTGCAATTTAATATCTGATAGTGTTCATATTCCAGCTGAAAGTTAATCTGATTAATCAAACAAAGTGTATCTTTACTGTTTTATTAAACTGAACTCTACAATTTTTTAAGAATATCATTTAAATTTTATGTTAACTGGTCTTATTCACTTCTTAAAACTAAACCCAAAAATAAAATCTTTGGATAGTGTTTTTTTTTTTTTTTTTGACCTAATACACTTAAAAGTTTAGCCTTTTAAAATGGCCTAATTTGGCCGGGAGTGGTGGCTCACACCTGTAATCACAGCACTTTGGGAGGCCGAGGCAGGTGAATCACAAGGTCAGGAGTTCAAGACCACCCTGACCAACACGGCTAAACCCTATCTCTACTAAAAATACAAAAAATTAGCTGGGCATGGTGGCATATGCCTGTAATGCCAGCTACTTGGGAAGCTAAGGCAGGAGAACTGCTTGAACCTCAGAGGTGGAGGTTGCAGTGAGCTGAGATCATGCCATTACACTCCAGCCTCGGTGACAGAGCAAGACTCCATCTCAAAAAAAAAAATTACTTAATTTTTCTCTACTGAAATAATAGAGACCTGACATATTTTGTCAATATTATGCCATCTAACATGACTTACTTATGAAACACTAATTTTTTTTTTTTTGAGATGGAGTCTCACTCTGTCACCCAGGCTGGAGTGCAATGGCACAATCTTGGCTCACTGCAACTTCTGCCTCCCAGGTTCAAGCGATTCTCCTGCCTCATCCTCCTGAGTAGCTGGGACTACAGGCTCCTGCCACCACGGCTGGCTATGTTTTATAAAAAATACTAAAATTTTATGTAAGATTTATATTTACATTAAATGCAACTGTGTATCTGGCATCCAGTTTGGCCAAAAATCACAGCATTGTACTAAAGCATCATTAAACTGTAATGATACACATATATCTTTTTTTTTTTTAAGACGGGGTTTCACCATGTTGGTCAGGCTGGTTTTGAACTCCTGACCTCAGGTGATCCGCCCGCCTTGGCCTCCAAAGGGCTCGGATTACAGGTGTGAGCCACCATGCCCAGCCACACATTTTATATGTATTTCTTTTATATAAAGAAAATTTATTTCTTTGGTGGGGCTACCCATTCAAACCCCAAAGCTTCTTTTAGACCCAGAATTACATGACTTGATACACGTTCGGCTTACAATTGAACAGGGATAATGTGAGCTTCATCCTTCCCTACTGTAGAACGAGAAAGTCGTCTTCATTTACTAATAACAGCAAGTTATTTTTGCTTCTCAAAAAATAAGGAGCTATGTCAAAAATTATATTTCAATTCAGTCTTGTACACATTTACTCCCAAACAGTAATTATATTAATATTAATCCTTAAAGAATTACTTACCCAATGAAAGCCACCATTTGCTCCACTATGTGCTTGCTGAATGTTATTATAACAAAAATTTTCTGTAAAGAAAACATCAGTTAAAATAAATTATTTAGTCATCAAAAAACCAACATAAATTCACAATTTTGGTAATTGTCTAAAGAGGTAAGATTGTGCCCCTAATTGCAATTTTTAAATTTCTTTGAAAATAAAAGATAACGTTTAATTCAAACGTTACCTACTTTTTTTTTTGAGATGGAGTCTCACTGTGTCACCCAGGGTGGAGTGCAGTGGCACAATCTCGGCTCACTGTAATCTCTGTTTTCCAGGGTTAAACGATTTTCCTACATCAGTCTTCCAAGTGGCTGGGTCAAGCGATTCTCCTACCTCAGCCTCCCGAGTAGCTGGGATTACAGATGTACACCACCATGCCTGGCTAATTTTTGTATTTTTTAGTAGAGACGGGGTTTCACCATAGTGGTCAGGCTGGTCTTGAACTCCTGACCTCATGATCCGCCCACCTTGGCCTCCCAAAGCGCTGAGATTATAGTCATGAGCCACTGTGCTCAGACCCCTACTTTGTATTTTAAAGATGTTTTTTCTTAAGCACAGCCTTAGTCTTACTAGGACTACATGACTATGTAAAACTATAGTCTTACATAACTATATTAGAGGGAAAATGTGGGTCATAGAACCCAAGACTGGGAGGGGATAGTGGACATTCATATATTCTAAGAATTTTGGAATTGCATATACAATTAAAATCATGGGCTCCCACATAGTCCCCACCAGTGAAATCAAAGCTGATTACCTCAAGGATAGGGGTCTGGGCTAAATATAATCCAGAAGATCAGGAAAAGACTGTATTTCTTTCATGAAAGGTTCTAATAAGAAGTACCAGGCTGGGCACAGTGGCTCACTCCTGTAACCCCAGCACTTTGGGAGGCTGAGGCAGACTGATTACAAGGTCAGGAGTCCGAGACCAGCCTGGCCAACATCGTGAAACCCCATCTCTACTAAAAATACAAAAATTAGCTGGGAATGTGGCACATGCCTGTAATCCCAGCTACTCAGGAAGCTGAGGCAGAAGAACTGTTTGAACCTGAGAGGCAGAGGTTGTGGTAAGCTGAGATTGCACCACTGCACTCTAGCCTGGGTGACAAGAGCAAGACTCTGTCAGGAAGGAAGGAGGGATGGCGGGAAGGAGGGAGGGAGGAAGGAAGGAAGGAAATAAGGAAAAAAGGAAGGAATGAAGGAAGGAAGGAAACATGAGGCTGGGCATGGTGGCTCATGCCTGTAATCCCAGCACTTTGGGAGATCAAGGGCAAAGGACTGTTTGAGCCCAGGAGTTTACGACTAGCCTGGTAGCCTGGGCAACATAGTGAGACCTTACAAGTAAAGTGAGACCTCACAAGTAAAGAAAATGTGAGGCCTTTAGGGGATAATGGGTAGCAAATATTTTCAACTCAGTTCAACAAATGTTAACATGAAGTTATTTTTATGGATACTGTAAGAAATTGTTAATGGTTTTCAGAGAACACAAATCTGAGAACACTTCTTCAAAGCCTGGAAGAAGCTTACTCATTTTTCTACATATACTAAGAAGATGATAAGTACTACATATATATAATATAAATGCCATTAGCGGTAAAACAAAACAACATATGTTACAGAAATTCAGAGAAAGGAAAGGTCACATTTAGTTACATAATTATAGATTTCGGAAGGTGATATTTAAATTTAGCTTTAAATATGAATATATCTGGATTGTCTCTCCAAATTACTGATAAACTCATTGCTCTATTAAATACTGTCTGTTAAGCAATTACTTTAGCCTATGTAACTGAAGGGTAGGGGAAAAAAATAAGTAACAGTAGTCTTCTTTTTATCCACTCACTATGAATCTCAGGAAACTGGACAGGTTAGACTAATGTACATTATTTCTGGCAAGAAGACTAATAAGGCAATGGTATACAATTGGTGTGTAAATATTATGAAGCTAGCAAGGCAATTATTACAGGTAATTTTGGAAGAAAAGCAAGGGGTCTATACAAAAAAACAGTTATTTAGAGCTATACATCTTTTACTAATCAACAGAGCTAATGGTTTTGCCTTTCAGTGATTTCATCACCATGAGCTTTCCCTACCATCATTTCTTAACAATCAAAATAAGCCAATCCCTAAACAATTGCTCAATTTCTTTTTTTTTTTTTTTGAGACAGAGTTTCGCTCTTGTTACCCAGGCTGGAGTGCAATGGCGCAATCTCAACTCACCGCAACCTCCGCCTCCTGGGTTCAAGCAATTCTCCTGCTTCAGCCTCCCGAGTAGCTGGGACTACAGGCGCGCACCACCATGCCCAGCTAATTTTTGTATTTTTACTAGAGACGGGGTTTCACCTTGTTGACCAGGATGGTCTCGATCTCTTGACCTTGTGATCCACCCGCCTCGGCCTCCCAAAGTGCTGGGATTATAGGCGTGAGCCACCACACCCGGCCGCTCAATTTCAATGAAAACAGCAAAACAGGATTTTCTTTTTTGTATGTAACCGATTGAAAAGTCACTGTTCTGTGTAAGACATAAAATGTGTCACACATTTAAGAACATACGTCTCAGTCTTTCAGGCTGGAGGTCTGAGTGGGGATTCTACAAAATAAACAAAAGGCACAGACCACCTAAGAGTCCTCTTAACCACATGCATAGAATAAACAAAGGAAAAGGTAGAGGAACAGGAAAAAAGATATGGGAAGAAGGAACTAATTGTGCTAGAATGAATAAAGACAGAACCATCTAAAAAGAAGTCTTTCATTGGAAAGAAGAATCTTAGATTTAGTTATTAAATATTGAGTGCCTACAATCTACAGACGCTATTCTAGGCATTATAATACATCAGTGAACCAACAAACAAAAATCTCTATTCTCCTGGGAGTTTACAATACTGTGTGTATGCTGGTGGGTGTGAAGGTAGAGGGATAATAAATGATACTGATGTATTTTAAGGGTACAATAAGTAAGTTATATGGTACATGAAATAACATAAATGAGTAGTATGTCACCTTTCTTCATTATTTGGGACAAAGGCAATGTCTCTAATGATACTACTTTAAATTTTTTTTTAAATTCCTGAAATCCTTGCTCATATAGCTGGGATTACAGGCATGTGCCATCACATGTGGCTAATTTTGTATTTTTTAGTAGAAACGGGTTTCTCCATTTTGGTCAGGCTGGTTTTGAACTCCTGACCTCAGGTGATCTGCCTGCCTTGGCCTCCCAAAGTGCTGGGATTACAGGTGTGAGCCACTGTTCCCAGCCCTAACACAAATTTTTAAATATTACAATGCTAGTTACTATAGTTAAGATTTAATGCCATACAGGATTTTTTCAAACAATAAACTATGGTGAATAATACAATTATTTTCAATGTATCTGAAAATATATTTTTATTTGATCTTTAGAATTGTTTCTAGAAGAGAGCTATCATTTAACTTTTTGGAGTTTTGGAGTCCTTAATACCTAAGGAACAATAACAGATTATCGTATTTCATTTCATAACAAGAACTTTGCTAGTAATTCATAAATTTTAGGTGTCCCTCTTTATACATATTATGCCATAAGTACCCTGTCTGTAGTGGTAAGATATGCAACTTATCAGACCTTTCATTTCAGAAAGATTCAAAACTAGTATATTTTTAAACATACTCAGATTGTTTCAATTTATGATAAGTTTTTTTGAGATGGAATCTCGCTCTGTTGCCCAGGCTAGAGTGCAGTGGCACGATCTCAGCTCACTGCAACCTCCGCCTCCCCGGTTCAACTGATTCTTCTGCCTCAGCCTCCAGAGTAGCTGGGCTACAGGTGCACACCACCATGCCTGGCTATTTTTGTATTTTAAGTAGAGACAGGGTTCACCATATTGGCCAGGCTGGTCTCGAACTCCTGACCTCATGATTGGCCTGCCTTGGCCTTCCAAAGTGCTGGGTTTACAGACGTGAGCCACTGCGCCCAGCCAATGATTAAACTTTTTATGGAATTTAAAGCATTTAGTGTGCGATATGGCTTAATTCTTATACTCCAGCATAGAGGAATTACTAAACCCATTCTGTAACTCTCAGAGATAGGGAGGTTAATAAGTAATAGTTGCTTAAAGAGTAAGTAAGAGCTGGAATTTGAACCCAACTCTTTTGACTTCAAGTTCAGTGTTCTTTCCATTCTTTGGCATTGCCTTAACTTTAATGTATTGATATGATTAAGGAAACGGAATTGTTTAATGACTGCTATTTATCAGGACCTGTGCAAGGTAATTTGCATTGGTTATCTCATGGCAGACAATCCTGAGAGGTAGTTATTATCCACATTTCATAGTTGAGGGAACTGTATTAGAGAAGGCAAAATACTTGCGTAAGGCCATAGAATTCAAACCAAGCTCTGTAAAGATAAAGCTGATTCCCTGTATCTATGTGGAAGCAAAAAAAGAAAAAGAAAAAGAAAGAAAGAAAGAAAGAAAGAAAGAAAGAAAGAAAGAAAGCTAAAACCCATTTATGTTTCTGAAAGGAAAGAATCTGAGTTCCTTCACTAAACTAAGACAGTGGGATATGTTTGCTATGTTCTATTGTATCATAATGACATACTTTGTAAAGGCATGTCACTTGATGTACATCCAGATGTAGCTTAGGGTAACAAACATTTCTCATTCCATGAGTAAACAATGTTAGTAATATAAACATTTTAACCATTCTGAAATAATAGGGGGAAAGTCACACACACCCACTGATTTTTCTCTACCCTAATAGTAAACCTGTCTCCTCATCAGCTTTTCTTTCTTCCCTTTTCCCTCAGCTTAAAATTAGACAATCTTCTTCAATAAATATTGCTATTTTTCAGGCATGGTGGCTCACGCCTATAGTCCCAGCACTTTGGGAGGCTGAGGCGGGCGGATCACCTGACGTCAAGAGTTCAAGACCAACTTGACCAACATGGAGAAACCCCATCTCTACTGAAAATACAAAAATTGGCCAGGTGTGGTGGGGCATACATGTAATCCTAGCTACTCAAGAGGCTGAGGCAGGAGAATCGCTTGAACCCGGGAGGCGGAGGTTGTGGTAAGCCAAGACTGTGCCATTGCACTCCAGCCTGGGCAGTAAGAGCGAAAATTCCAACAACAAAACAAAACAAAACACAACACCCAAAACCTGTGTTCACTGACTGTATAAAATACTTAATCTAAATTGGAGGAAATACATTCCTTGAAGGAGGAAAAACATCCTTGAAATTCTGAGTGGTCATTATGGCAGGAGAGTAGAGGACAGACTCAATAAATAACCCAAATGCCAAAATCTAAGATTACAAACTGGACAGGTAGAAGCAGCTGAAGTTTTCCTGTTTCATTTTTTCCTTCAAAGAACCGGAAGTAGAGAGGTGTTACCTAGAAATTCTGGGGATAGACACACTTGTAATTATCATGGAATCATACAAGGGTAGAGAACTTCACTACTCTTTCCTCTCTTTTGGTTAATACCTCTCTTTGTTACAAACTACACTGATTTAAAATAAATTATTTCCAGGTTAATTTTTATTTCATTCTAGTGAGATTTGCCCGTAGAAGGAAATAATTCCTATTACAGTTCTAGAAGCACATATCCATTTCCCTTCATTTAAATTCTTAGCCTTTCTCTCCTCTCTATTCATACATGCGTGCATGCACACATACACACCCTCTGTCCTAACGATTTTGTTAAGAGTGGCTTTGAGGAGTAGCAGATTCTGACTTCTCTGACCACAACCCACATCTCCTCGCCTCTTCAGAGACCCTCTTCTTCCCCATTCTCCTCCCACACTAACATCTGGCTGTTTTTCAGTAAAGGATATGGGTGCCAAGAGAGAAACTGCTTCACATACTCTATATATATAGAGTATGTGAAAGAAAGTAAGAATTGGTGAAAGGCAATATTCTCTCAGTTTGTGGTTGGTAATAAAAATGATGTGCATCTTCCTGCACACAAACACTATTTTTGTTTGGTAAAAGTCCTGGATAAATAGTTTCACAGGGAAAAAAATAAAGAGAGAAAGGAAGGAAAGAAGGAAAAAAGGGAAGGAGAGAGGAAGAAGAAAAGAAAGAAAACGAGGGAGATCACTAACCTCCAAATGACATTCTATGCTTTATTATCTAAGTAAGCTACCAACCAAAAGAAACAGAAACAATAACTTAACAATTCACTCAGGAATGAGCATGTTTCATTGTCTTATAATGGGTTTATCATCATTAGGCAGCGAATCAGGGGGTATAATTACCTGAATATGCATTTTAATTATTGCTTTTCCAATTAGGGTTGCACCAAAGAAGGTCCAAAAAGGTACTAGAAAGTGTCCACATGTTATTCCAGCCAGATCAAATAGAGGATTTGGAATCTATAGAGAGAAAAGAAGGACTTCCATATTATAATCCAAAGAACAATTTAATTTTATCACCTATTGATATGTGATATTCTGCTTTCAGCCTGCTTCCACTGCAAAGTGACATATGGGTTCCTTGATCAGTACTGGATTGTTCAAAAGGAGGTTAGGCAAGTATTCTAATGTGTCTAGAAGCTGGGTCTCATATTCATCTTAGTGTTCAATCTGAAAACCAAGGTGTCCTTTTGCTTATATTACTCATGGCTGTGTGTGTGTGTGTGTGTGTGTGTGTGTACACACACATGCATGCAGTGCGCTTGCCCATCACATGAGAACTGGATGGATAAAATGAGTGGATTCTTGACTATTTGATGGCTGTTTTCTTTTTTTCTTTTGAGACGGAGTCTTGTTGTGTTGCCAGGTTGGAGTGAAGTGGCATGATCTCACTGCAATCTCTGCCTCCTGGGTTCAAGTGATTCTCTTGCCTCAGCCTCCTCAGTATCTGGGACTATAGATGCGTGCCACCATGCCTGGCTAATTTTTTTTTTTTTGTATTTTAGTAAAGATGGGGTTTCACCGTGTTGGCCAGGATGGTCTCAAACTCTTGACCTTGTGATCTGCCCCCCTTGGCCTCCCAAAGTGCTGGGTTTAGACAGGCCTGAGTCACTGTGCCTGGCCTTTGGTGGCTGTTTTTTTTTTTTGAGATGGAGTTTTTGCTCTTGTTACCCAGGCTGGAGTGCAATGGCGCGATCTTGGCTCACTGCCATCTCCGCCTCCTGGGTTCAGGCAATTCTCCTGCCTCAGCCTCCTGAGTAGCTGGGATTACAGGCACACGCCACTATGCCCAGCTAATTTTTTTGTATTTTTAGTAGAGATGGGGTTTCACCATGTTGACCTGGATGGTCTCGATCTGTTGACCTAGTGATCCACCTGCCTCGGCCTCCCTAAGAGCTGGGATTACAGGCTTGAGCCACTGTGCCCCGCCTGGCCGCTGTTTTATATGGTGAGGTATGAGTGAAAAAAAGAGCCTTAAGATTTTATCAGTAGTTAGGGTTCTAAAATCTTTAGACTGAAATGTGAATATTATCTGGTAAGCACTCATATCATTAGCAAATATTCTAACGAATTCCCAAATACATTTATGGGTAGATGTGCCGTTATTAACATAAAATATTAATAATTTGTATTTTATTTTATGAGATACCAAGGCTGAGGGCCGTGTGATAAAATTTAGAAAAAAGGTCAGTGTGAAAAATGAGAGCACACAGATTCAGATGTTTTGAATACTCAGTTCCAGACAAAGAAGTGATTTACAACAAATACCTTTTCCAAACATTTCCACAATTTAAGAATGCTAAAAGACATTTCATGTAAAAATGCAAAGGAACCACAAGCTGTTTTTGAGCACTTCCCCTATTCTTCTCCTACAGAAAGTACTCTGACCTTGTGGCTGATGGCTGAACCATTCATAAGTTAATTAATTTATATAATTTCATTTTGAACTCTGAAAGAAAAGTCTAGTTATTTAAAAAATTCTTGCTGGCTGGGTGCGGTGGCTCATACCTGTAATGCCAGCACTTTGGGAGGCTGAGGCAGGCAGAACACGAGGTCAAGAGATCGAGACCATCCTGGACAACATGGTGAAACCCTGTCTCTACTAAAAATACAAAAATTAGCTGGGTGTGGTGGTGGGCGCCTGTAATCCCAGCTACTTGAGAAGCTGAGGCAGGAGAATCGCTTGAACCCAGGAGGCGGAGGTTGCAGTGAGCTGAGATCGCGCCACTGCACTGCAGCCTGGGCGACAGAGTGACTTTGCCTCAAAAAAAAAAAAAAAAGAAAAAAAAAATTGTCACATATGATCTTTAAAAAAAGACATTAATAAATTAGAATTCAAGTATTCTTCAGTGGGTGAGGTGGCTCACGCCTATAATCCCAGCACTCTGGGAGGCCAAGGCGGGTAGACCACCTGAGGTCAGGACTTCTAGACCAGCCTGACCAACATAGAGAAACCTTGTCTCTACTAGAAATACAAAAAATTAGCCAGGAGTGGTGGTGCATGCCTGTAGTCCCAGTTACTCAGGAGGCTGAGGCACAAGAATTGCTTGAACCCAGGAGGCAGAGGTTGCAGTGCACTGTGATCGCACCATTGCACTCCAGCCTGGGCAACGAGAGTGAAACTGTCTCAAAAAGAAAAAAAAGAATTCAAATATTCCTTTGTTAGTAACATTTGAAGTCAATAAGTCATTTTTGTTTTTCTCATCCAAATTCAAACGTTTTATGATTATTTCATCTCTTACAACCAGGTAATAACAATATCGTTTACACAGTATTACATCTGCCATTTCCTTTTTTTTTGAGACAGAGTTTTGCTCATTGCCCAGGCTAGAGTGTAGTGGCAGGATCTTGGCTCACTGCAACCTCCAGCTTCCAGGTTCAAGTGATTCTCCTGCCTCAGCCTCCTGAGTAGTTGGGATTACAGGGTGTGTGCGCCACCAGGCCCAGCTAACTTTTGTGTTTTTAGTAGAGATAGGGTTTCAGAATTTTGGTCAGGCTGGTCTCAAACTCCTGACCTCATGATCCACCTGCCTTGGCTTCCCAAAGTTCTGGGATTACAGGTGTGAGCCACCATGCCCAGCCATACATATGCCATTTCTTATATTTGTTCATGTTACTCTCACAACTCAATGAGTTTAAACTTTTTTTCCCCCTTTTATCATAAGTTTCCAACTCATGCTGAAATGAAAATGAATTTAAAGTATTTAAGATATGTAGGCTGGGAGTGGTGGCTCACGCCTGTAATCCCAGGATTTTGGGAGGCTAAGGCAGGTGGATCATGTGAGGTCAGGAGTTTGAGACCAGCCTGGCCAACATGGTGAAACCCTGTCTCTACTAAAATTACAAAAATTAGCTGGGTGTAGTGGCACAAGACTGTAATCCCAGCTACTGGGGAGGCTGAGGCAGAAAAATTGCTTAAACCTGGGAGGAAGAGGATGCAGTGGGCCAAGATTGCACCACTGCACTCCAGCCTGGGCAACAGAGCAAGATTCTATCTCTAAAAAAAAAAAAAAAAAATGTTTAAGATATGTAAGTCATAGTAGCCATGGGCTAACATCACTTTAGACAGGTTTTAAATGAATTCTTCCTTGTAACTAATAATTCTCATTTAGTAAGTAGAATGGGCCAGGTGCAGTGGCTCATGCCTATAATCCCAGAACTTTGGGAGGCCCAAGAGTTTGAGACCAGCCTGGGCAACATGGTGAGACCCTATCTCCACTAAAAATAGAAAAATTAGCCTGGTGTGGGTACGGGGGGGTGGGGTGGGGAGCAGGCCAGTAGTCCCAGCTACTAGGGAAGCTGAGGCAGGAGAATTGCTTGAAACCAGGAGATGGAGATTGCAGTGAACCAAGATCATGCTATTGCACTCCAGCCTGGGCAACTCCATTCCAAAAAAAAAAAAAGTTGAATGATTTACAAAATTACATACCCAATAAAAGTGATAGCATTTTTGTTCATTCAACTGAATCAAAATACAACACTACTATTTAGTAAAATTTCTGTTTTAATATAATTCACTTACTGAAGCACAGGCCAAAATTCCAAAAAATCCAACCTTCTGTACTAGGTTTTGAACTGCCAGTTTGGCCCGGGAGGCAAAGTCCTGTAAAAAGGCAAATTTAAACACATTAATGAAAAGTTGGAAAAGAAGGAAAGATGGTTCTTTCTAGAGGTTATTAAAGATCTTACAATCTGATGACATTAATGAGTAGGATGAACGATGAAAAAAAATTACAGTAGATTGTTCACTGGAGCACATGCAAGTAAAATACTGATAGACTATTACATCCTTAAAGTTAAACACCACATTTTAAGAATAAACCAAAACACTGTAACTTTAAATTTAGTATTCTCACTGGATATTCTAGGGATAAACAAAATATTGTAAACTAACCATGAACCAATTTGTCATTTTGGAAACACTGGCCTACAACATCTATCTTTTCCTCTCTTCTATAATTTGCCAGACTTCATATCTAGTTAATAGCAGGGTAGACAGCATAGGATTTTTCAAGATGGCCAATGTAGACATCTCTGCTGATCACTAGCCAGAAGTCGGAAAAAACAGTTATGTGGCAATAACTAAGGATTCATTATCCCAGAAGCAAAAGAACATCCTACATTTGCACAGCTTGTGCTAGTTTTCTAAAGTGTTCTCACCATGATTTTATTTGAGCCTTCAACAATCCTGGGGTGTAGGTAGAGTAGATATTATTATACCCAGTCTATAGGCCACAAAACTGCAGCCCAGAAAGGGCAAGTGCTCAAGATCATGTCACTTAGGGACAAAGACAGGACATGATTCAATATTCAGACTGTGAAATCAGTGCTTTTTATTTCACTATGTTACCTCCTCCCATGCTAAAACATGCATTCAGCTGGCTAGTTTATTTCCATAATTTTCTTTCAGCATGCTGATGCTACAAATATTTGACGCTAATTCTTTTCTGGTTTTGAAATGGTATATATTCGAATCCAAATTCCAATGAAAATAATTCATAAGATAAAAAAACGAGCTAATGTGTAAATGCTTTATTTTTAATTTTTGGTATGTGTGTAAATGCTTTATTAATAAGTCTTCACATCATAGAACCTCTGTCACTCTCTTTAGCCAAGTTTCTTTTTCTTTCTTTTTTTTTTGTGATACAGAGTTTCACTCTTGTTGCCCAGGCTGGAGTGCAATGGCATGATCTTAGCTCACCGCAACCTCTGCCTTCTGGGTTCAAGCAATTCTCCTGCCTCAGCCTCCCAAAGTGTAGGGATTACAGCTGTGAGCCACCGTGCCTGGCCTTTAGTTCAACTTCCTGAAAGACAATACAGAGAATCTAGAAGCTGGAAAGATCCATCATAGAGAGTAGAAACAAAGTTTAAAGCCAGAAAAGCAAACTGGCTGAAAAATATACTTTCCCAATTGGCACAAAATGTGTGTATGTATCCCCATTTACAAAAACGTTTTGACGAATAGTATTGTGTAGAATAGCCTTACCAAGTTACCACAATAGTTAATACTGAAATTAAAGCAAACAAACAAAAAACCTAACTCTACTTGTTGAAGATGATGAGAAAGTCAAATAAACTAAACCAATAAACTATATTTAAAAAGATATTAGGCCTGGCGCGGTGGCTCGCGCCTATAATCCCAGCACTTTGGGAACCGAGGCGGGTGGATCACGAGGTCAACAGATCGAGGCCATCCTAGTCAACATGGTGAAACCCCGTCTCTACTAAAAATACAAAAATTAGCTGGGCATGGTGGTGTGCGCCCGTAGTCCCAGCTACTCGGGAGGCTGAGGCAGGAGAATTGCTTGAACCCAGGAGGTTGCGGTGAGCCGAGATCGTGCCATTGCACTCCAGTCTGGGTAACAACAGCGAAACTCCGTCTTTTAAATAAAATAAAATAAAATAAAATAAAAAGATATTATCAGTCAATATAAACACTTCCAAATACATAGGCCCTCAAAGTTAATCATTAGCTCAATTCTACAACAAAATTTTACAATGTTTTTTTTTTGAGATAGAGTCTTGCTCTGTTGCCAGGCGCCAAGCTGGAGTGCAGTGGCGCGCTCGGGTCACCACAACCCTGCCTACCAGATTCAAGCAATTCTCCTGCCTCAGCCTCCCGAGTAGCTGGGACTACAGGCGTGTGCCGCCACGCCCAGCTAATTTTTGTATTTTTTTTTAGTAGAGACGGGGTTTCACCATGTTGGCCAGGATGCTCTCGACCTGTTGACCTCGTGATCCACCCGCCTCAGCCTCCTAAAGTGCTGGGATTACAGGAGTGAGCCACTGCGCCCGGCCACAATTTTATAGTTTATTTATAACGACTGAACTACTGCAGCAAAGGCAAAGGGTATTTTCTATTTTTATTTAGATTTCTAGCTAAATAAAGGTTAGAAATCTGTATTTTTTTGGCCAGGCGCGGTGGCTCACACCTGTAATCCAAGCACTTTGGGAGCCTGAGGCGGGTGGATCACAAGGTCAAGAGATAGAGATTGGTCAACATGGTGAAACCCCGTCCTTACTAAACATACAAAAAAATTAGCTGGGCATGGTGGTGCGTGCCTGTAATCCCAGCTACTCGGGAGGCTGAGGCAGAAGAATTGCCTGAACCCAGGAGGCGGAGGTTGCGGTGAGCCGAGATCGCGCCATTGCACTCCAGCCTGGGTAACAAGAGCGAAACTCCGTCTCAAAAAAAGAAAAAGAAAAAAAAAAAAGAAATCTGTATTTTTTTCTTAGCATCTATTGCATTAAGTGTGAATACTGAGTTTTATTGATTTAAAACCAGTTAAGAACATATAATCAAATTAGTTTTCCTAAATAGCTTATTAAAACAAATATTTGTATTTTGTTTATTATATTTTATTATTTACTGCTCCTCCTTTTCACTAAGCCTATCCTTCTGCAAAATCCATTTATTTTTAATAATTTACACAATTAGTCCCCAAATTACTAAGTTTACAATCGATTTGAAGCACTAAATGAAAACTGGTAAAGAGAAATGTTTTAATTGTCTAGTATCAACAGGTACTATTAAATTATAAACTAGTTGTGAAACGTTAATTACTATAGCACAAAAATTAAATATATAAAATCAGAAAAATGCCTTCCTTTACAGCCCTTAAAATTTTTATAGCAAGTCCACTTTTAATGAGAGGGAAGACTATATTCAATTACTAAGAAAAGGTAAACAACAAAAAAAGCATATAAGTTTTATTTTAAAGACAACACAATTTTTATAAATTTTCCAAGTCAGATATACTTGGGAATATTTTTTTAAATCAGTGTTAATGTCATCTTTACTAGAAACAATTATAAAAAATTAGTTTTTCTACATTAAATGGTATAGACAAGATCAACAGGTATTATATTTAGGAGGTCTGGTGTACTATTTTCATTTACATTAATTTCCTTTTAAGACTGCCAAAGAGCATTATCTTAATTTTAAGGCTTTAGAATTTTCTATTTATTTAAGCCAAGTGACTAAGATTGTGCCATCATTTCAAACTGACAGCATTTTTCTTCTCTATAGATACATATACACACATACAAACTTACACAGGAAAAGAGATATAATTATACTAACTGGTTTATGTTAAGACAAAATGATTAAACATTATGCAGATCACCTAATAATACACAAAGATATTTAAGACTACAGAAGATCAAGAAAATATGGTTTAAAAAACACCTTGAAAAAGAGGTCAAAACACAGTGATCATTAGTAACAAAGAGGAATAACAAGTAAGGAGCCACTTTTCCCTTTTAGGGAAGAGTATCTTTGCTTAACAGCAGTTAGGCCAGAACTAAAAACAGGCTTCTTGTTCTTTCAGATGCCTGGGTGCTCCTCATTAGTTATCCTTAAGGGAGCTTCAATAATCTTCATTTGAGCAAAAAGAGTTAATCTAATCAACATGTGAAGCCGAAACTTCCTTTTACATTTTTTATTTTTTAAATTTGAAGCTGGCATGTATTATAAGGAAAACAAGTAAACTGCCTTTTTAACAGAGAGCTTTACTTTTTAAAAAGAGTGAAAGTCATCTATTGAAAAAGTATTTCACAAATTTTATTATGTATTTAACACGCACAGTGACCATGCTAGTTTCAGTTCCCATAATTTTTTTCCAGGTCTTTCGAAATATTCTCAGAATTTATATTACATTACATAGCAAATAATCTGCAAACATTTACTGAAATTATATTAATATCAAGTCTACACAGTTGTTTTCATTACAAGAAGATAAACATTAGCATAATAAGCAGTTTGATGGAGTATTTCCTTGATTTTTTTCCTTGCCAGTGTAATGAAAACAAACCCAGGAAAGCACTCTATTGGTATTTTACAATAGTAAAATAAATGATGTTTAGATTTCATAAACACAAACATATTTTATTGTTTCCTATTTTTTGCAGTTTTAGTAGAGACAGGTTTCACCATGTTGCCCAGGCTGGTGTCAAACTGCCGCCTTGGACTCCCAACCTGCTGGAATTGTTGGTGGATATTAGAGTCCTGGGCTCAATGATCCTCCTGCCTCAGCCTACTGAGTAGCTTAGGACCACAGGCACAAGGTACCACACCTGGATAATTTTTAAAATTTTTGTAGAGACATGTCTTTTTTTTTTTTTTTTTTTGAGACGGAGTTTCGCTCTTGTTACCCAGGCTGGAGTGCAATGGCACGATCTCAGCTCACTGCAACCTCCGCCTCCTGGGTTCAAGCAATTCTCCTGCCTCAGCTTCCCGAGTAGCTGGGACTACAGGCGCGCACCACCATGCCCAGCTAATTTTTGTATTTTTAGTAGAGACGGGGTTTCACCTTGTTGACCAGGATGATCTCAATCTCTTGACCTCGTGATCCACCCGTCTCGCCCTCCCAAAGTGCTGGGATTATAGGCGTGAGCCACCGTGCCCGGCCGTGAAGTATATTTTTAAGTCACACATTATTTGTTATTGAATTATAACATAATAAAGTCATGGGATAAAGACTGTGGTTAGAAAATAAATTCTAGAATTACCAAAAAAGTAGGGATATTGTTGAAACAAAGTGATTGTAAAAGTAAGAAAGTAGTTAATAAATTTTAAATTACTACCCATAAGATTTTGTATAA